ATTAGGCTTAGTAGAGTGTAGGCTAGCATGTGATCTATCTTGATAGAGTATATAAATAGCTCTAGTTAGAGTAAAGTGCCTGAAGTGTCTTCCTAAATAGGCAAAATTATTGCAGGAAGTGCAAGCAAACTAGTTATGCGTATAGGATGCAGCCGAGGCAGACTTTCCCACACAGTAAGGAGCTACGAGTAGTCTAGCATGGGATAGTATAGTAGTCTAGCTAGAGTAAAGTGTGTTCTCTTAAAGCATAAATTATTGCTAGGATACTTAAGCAAACAAGCTCTGGGTGCCAGCTGCTGTCCCGCCTCTCTAGAACGGGTGTGGCTCTTCAGCTGGCAGTTAGTCTACTTAACTGGCCCATGCTGATGGCAACGACAATTAGACTGGCAACAAAATTGCTTTTGAGCTGCCAAAGCATTTTTGTTGCGTATCGTGCTGCAAGTGGCAGCTAGACACGTGCCACATTGGCCTCGTTTGACAGCTATTGACAAGCACTTTTCACATTTATTGACAATTTTGGCTTCGTCCATGAAGTGCGCTTCAATCTGTCATGTTGACACAAAAGTCGTGAAACTCTTTGGAAATAGCTCACTGTGAGCAGGCAGCTATTGGCCAACAATGTTGCAGCTGAGTGTGCAATAAACTTGTCCACAAATTGACATTTGACGGTCTGACCAAAATGAAAATAAAGCACGTTCCAAAGGATGCAGTGGCTCTTAGTTCAACTATCTGACTGCTTTTAAGGGCCACACTCAAATTTCATATTCATTTCGGCTGACAGATGAAGTCATTTGTCTCGCCTGCTCCAGAAATTAGGCAACGCTTTCTTAACAGACTTTCCAGTTCCCACAAAAAAAGGCTACTTAATCTTTAATGGCGTGAAAACGGCTAAAAATTATACATATTATTTTGGGCGCTTATCAGAAAAGGTTCAGGCCAGTGGCATAAAAACAGAGTGAGACTCTAACTACGATGTGAATGACTAAAGAATACCCTGTAGATGTGTAGAAGGTAATGTAAGGTGAGGAAATATAGAAAATTATAATTAAAAGGTTTTAGGTTTTAGACTTAAATTAATTTTTATTCAAGTTTTCTGGCTTCAGCTTGAGATAAAGCTTAGCTCCTTAGGGAGTTTAGTTTAGCTTTTAGGTCTTTCCCGTTTCATAAATTTATTTTTAGTATTTTTTAGGTATTTTTTACTTAAATTGTCTAGCTCTAACTAAAGATTTGCTGCAACTCCTAAACACAATTTCTTTTATTGTTTCTTTTATTGCTAGAACAAGCTGGTTTCTTAGCCAAGTCGACATTTGCTTATGCTTTGCTCAAACCCAAATTATGTTGACTCTAGCTACTTCTGTTTGATTATAGGGTATATTAAGTGGCCCTCAAGGGATTAATTTTCAGCCATGGTCGGCCTGCAATTATACAACAATTAAAAAACAAACGCTTAAAGTGCCCAGTCCGCGACGCAGCTGGCAATTGGGAATGTGGGGCCGTTGTTGGGATCTGTTGGGTCTGGAGAGTTTTTGAGCGGGTGGCAAACTAACCAACGGCTGCCCGCACACAAATTACTGCGGCTTAATTAATGGCTAAGAAATGTTGGTGCGTCAACAGGGAAAAGTTAAAGCGCAGCCAAAGAAGCGTGTTCGTGTTGACAACCAAAACGGAAAACAAAAAATAAAGTTTTTCAGGGCATGGGAGTTACGGCTGGAGAGCGGGAGTGGAAGGGGCAGCGGTTGCTGCTCGTGTAATGACAGGCGTTGACGTGGCCTACGTGAGCTGCTGGCTCATGTGCGCGCCGTCGAAGATGGCGGCAAGAAAGTGCCACATTTTTCAGTCTCTGTGTTGACGTCACAGCCAGCAGCAGGAGCAGCAACAACAATAGCATCAACAACAGCTTGGCAAGCAGAGCTTTTTGACTGTGAACCATTTTTGGGGATCCTGTCGGGATATTTTGCAGTTTGTCTGTCGTTTGTTGCTGTTGCTGTGGGTACAGATGCGTGTGTGTGTGTGTGGAGGGGTGGCATGTGTCATGTGCGACATGCTCATAAAAAGCGTTTATTCAACCAAGAGCCAAGCAAGTGCTACATGACACCAGCAACAACAGCAACAAGCGAGCAACGACAAAATGGCGACGTGCCAAAACTCTAAACCGTTTGCTGCTGCTGGTTCGAGTGATTGGGGTGGTTCCTGTGCCCTGTGCCCCGCCACAGTTTGCTTAGTGTGGGTAATGCTGATTTGGCTTTTACCACATTATTATGTCTTAACTGAAACTTGTTGTTCTGCCCATTATTCTTGGTTTTTCTTTCTTCTTCCACTGTTGCTGGCTGTTTGTTAACAACTCTTTCATGTGAATTTCCTTCTTTGTTTTCTTGCAGGCTGCCAGTTTGTTAGGACGCTTTGCATACCCCACACCGAGGTCTGTTACGATGGTAAGTTAAGATATCAACGCCAACAGTCGATTAACTCTATATATACACACTATATACTACAACAACAACAATATCTGATTGTGTGTCAGCGAGTGTCTTTATCAACTGTGCAAAAATATGATGTTTAAAGTGGGTGCGGGTAAAGCAATAGATACATATCTCTGGCTTGTTTGTCGTTAATGGCACGAAGTTTGCCTTTAGGGCGAGCAAATACAGCTGCGAGTGTTTTATAATAAATATAAATATATGTGCTAAGTGCAGTTTTTGTTGGCAAAGCGGAAAAATAACTATATATATTTTAAGTGCAGTTCATGAGCGTGTTATAAAAAATAATAAAATATTGTTTTAATGTATATTATTTCTATAAAATAGCGTTAGTATTTCAAGCTAGGCGGCGCTGTGAATTATTGTTGAATAGCTTTTGCTTTTGTAGAACTCTCTTAATTAAATTTGGAGCGTGCTAATAGCAGCTGTGTGTATTTATTTGTCAAAACATAAGTCTCTACTTTAAGAAATACATTTTCAAATTTCTGGGAAAGTCATCCAAAGGGGGAAATGTCTAATATCTGTGTACTTATTACTGAAAAGTGCACAGCAAAAATGCTTAAAAAAGTAGAATGAGTTCTTGAAAAGATGGACTTACTCAAGCTGCATATGGTGTACATATTTAAATATTCAAATATTTAAAATTTATATACATTTAAATATATAAGATTTTAGCTGTTGTAATTGATGAAGTCGCTGGGTGCACAGACTGCCAGACCGGCTTGACTTCATCAAGTCATGTCTAAACAGGGCTTGCTCAAGAACTTTTTGTTATATAAATTTATAAATTTTCCCTGAATTCGCAACCTTCATTTAAGATATATAGAAGAAGAAAAAATCAAATATAATACGAAGTATAAGCAAAGCTGCATATGTTCTTCAAAGAACGTAACTATTGCCTCAGAGCTTACTCACAAAAGTGCTTCCTAGCAACATTCATACAAATTCCAAGCGACTTACAGCTGGAAACGTTTCCATTTAGAGAATTTTTGCTGAACGTTTGAGCTAGTGACAGGTTTTGGTGCGTTATCCAAGTGAAATGTGGACTGCACAGCTCGAGGGCGCTCGATTGCACTAAGTGCTCAATAGCAGGCGAAGCTGGAACATAAAACGATTTCACACACACACACGCACGCACACACACAACATGTGTGTATTGGTCACAACCTCGTTAGAGTGGCGGCAATTGCGAACAATGACCGAAAATGCACTTCGGACCGCTTCAAGAAAAAAGTCCATTTTGTGGGTCGAATTGCAGCGGGCACATCTGAGTTTTGGGAATCATTTTCCAGCCGCTGGCCCTGGCGTGGCGTATATATTTTCGTATTTGCCAAGTGCTTCAAAGCGAGGCGCATTCAAACAGCGTAAAGAAGGGACAAAAAGGAGCCCAAACAAATGGGGGAGCAACTGCAGCACCCAGCGGCTTGGGGATGCCTAACAGTGCATTATCGAGAACACACTCAATTACTTATGTAAGCGCTGTGAAATTCGTGGACGGCGGGGCCCAGAGAACAATTGCAACAGCTGCAGCTGCTGCTCGCGATGAAGAAAACCTGCGAAAAATTGTGAAAATTGCAAAAGAAAAAAATGGAAGGAATTGTTTGACCCCAAAAGTGAAAAATGTTCGCGCTCAAATGTAAAAGGGGAAACTGCACTTAGAAAAATTAGACATAGACTTTGTGACAAATGTGAAACGAGTCGAAAGTCAAAGCAAGTTTTTGATGGGCAACATATACTTTATGCTGCTTATTTTTGTCAGTGTATTGAACCATGTGTCTATGATAACAGAAAGCTGCACTCAGAAAAATTAGATATAGACTTAGAGCACCCTACCCTACCCAGAGTGAGTGAGTTAGTGAATATTTTTGTCAGTGTATTCACATATATGTCTAGAAAAAATATATATATATATAAACCCAAGCGCAAGTCAAGGCTGACTCTCTTAGTTTAGCTTACATTTCTGCCAGTGTATCCACGCACATGTCTAGGCATTGTACGTGAAAGTGAAGCTGCACTCAGAGAAATTGCAGACAGTCTTAAAAATATATCAAAGCTCAAAGCAGGCAACATACATCCAACTGCGAACATTCTTATCCTTAGCCAGGAGCATTTTTGAACAGTGTATTCACACACATGTCGAGGTATTTATTATATGGCTGGGTGCTGCAGTGGCAGTCGCAGTCTCATGCACAGTTTTTCAGCCCAGAGACTAGCGGCAAGGATATGCATTTAAACGCTCGTAAATCAGGGTGAAAACAAAAGGTAGCCAATGTGTTGTGTGTGGCAGGTAGAGGCAGAAGGCAGGGGGGGGCAGGCAAAATTGTGTTGCAGCCATTGTAAGACACGCGCTATTAATGCAGTTACATGGCCTATTAAAAGTGAGCATAATTTGCATTTCGCAGACAACATCTTTGGGAAGTGCATTCCAACCACTGGAGTTGACGTCGAGGACATTGAGAAGTAATTATCCTTGTCGCATTTGCAATCGGGTGCAGCGATAATTGTGTTTTGTGTCTGTTGCAGGACACCACTCACCGAGGACCAATCGCGTCTGCTGGCAACCATGCTGGAGGAGCTGCAGGGCGCCGGCTTAGGCTGGGACCATCATTACGTGCAGTGCCGGATCCAGGGAGCGCTCTTTTCGCTGCAGCGCCAACAACAGCTGCCGCCGAATCTGTGCGCCAATTTGGCGCCAGCGCCACCCGACTATGGTGATCCGGCGAGCGCGTTAGCCTATGTGCGGTTTACGCCACCGGAGGCGGAGCAGCTGGAGCTGAGCAACGCGGACTACTACGACCAGACGCAGCCCAGGCAGCAGGCGCAATTCTATCCAGCGCTGCACAAGAAGCAGCCGCAGGACAGCGGCTTCAACAGCATCTTGCATCAGCTGCAGCTGCAGGATCGCCGGCGGCTGCGTCACGATCCGAGCGAGTTGGAGCACTTCGGCAAGCTGGACGGCCATATGAAGAATACACAGCTGGAGCTACCGAGCGTTATGGATGCCTTTTTGGATACGGAACGACAACGCATGGAGCTGCGCTTGGCCGAGCAGGATGCCAACTCGAAGGCGGGTGGTCCACGCAATCGTCTGGAACTCTATCAAATACTGGCCGCCTCCGAGCCCGATCCGCAGCCCTACCAGCGCAACCAACAACCAGCCAACGCCATGGACCAGCTGGAGGCAATTGTCGAGCAGCAGCAGCAGCAACAACAGCAGCAGCCACAGGACCCGGAGCCGCCGGCAGCACCCGTATTTCTGCCCGAGGAGCTAAACGAGTCGAGTGAGCTCTACTTCCCGGATAACTATGCGCCGTTCAAGCGTCGTGGCCAGCAGCCCAAGCACTCCTTCTTCCGTGAACTGGCCAACGAGCAGGGCTTAGCCCAGGAGCCGTTGGCTCAGCTGACAGCACAGCCGGAGCTAATGAAGCGACGCCCCAGCGACAGCGACGTCAATGCCCAGGAGCAGGAGCTGGCGTTCGAGACCAGTTTGCGCCGCAACTCGCTGACACCCTTGGAGGAGGAGGCCATGCTGGCCTCCAATAGCTATCCACGCGCACTGCACAATCAGCGCGTTTACACTGAGGGTGGTCTGCTGCTGGTGCCGCAGGACGAGCTGCAGCAGGACTCAGCGCAAGCGGACGAGCCGGCTGACTTGAAACAAGCGCTGCTGGCCAATATGCTGGGCTTTGCGCGTCACGAGCGGCTCGATGTGAAGAAACCGGGTCCACAGCTGGGTCCACCGTCCTCCGAGCAGAGTAGCCAGGTGGAAACAGAGAAGCCGCAACACGCCAAGGATGTCAACAAGGAGGTGCTGCCCGCCCACATCAAGGGCGGCGATGTCAACGAGCCATTCAAGAAGAAAAAGGTCGTCAAGGAGCAACACTCGGACGAGGATCATGCGCCGCACACCGTAGACACTGAATATGCACATGTGTTCGTCAAGAACCCGTAAGCCTCAACTGAACTCGCCTTGCCTAAGATTCCCATTTGACACTTCTCTTCCTTGCAGTATCGACAGTTGGTACGATGGGCAGCGCATCATGAATGAGTTGGCGCAAATACTACACATGCAGGGATACTTTTCTTATTTAACGTAGGTTCCATGTTCGTGGTAAACTAATAACATTAAGTCTAAAGTAGATGGTAAATTATTGATATGGCTGATTGATAGACTTTGAGGGTTCTCTCTTTTCGGGCTGGGATCATTAATAATTTCGTATCGGTCAATTTTCTGCAGCGTTCAACCACACGAAGTCAGCTTCCGGGTGGACTCAAACAACCCCGAGCGTAAGACGGCCGCTGATGTAGCTCGCTACATCAATGAGAACCGCGGCGTCAAAAACAACATCCAGCGACGCGTCGGCTTCTATGTGCTGTACGCCGGCGTCGGCGATCGGGTCAAGGATCTGCGCGATCCGAGCATCTCTGCTTCGCGAATCGAGCTGGCCGAGCAGGGGCCGGATGTGACCCACATAATGGCCTACATGTTCGCCGGTGCAGGCGCCGCAGCTGTGATTGTGATCTTTGTAACGCTGATTCTGATCAAACGGCACGATCGCAAGCGCGACAAGCTGGGCGGCCTGCAGACGGGCATGTCGGGCGCGGAGAGCTGCAGCAAGGACTATCAAGAACTCTGCCGCGCACGTATGGCTGGCAAGAATGGCAACGCCACGACTGGCAGCAGTGGTGGTGGCGGTGGTGCAAATACAGCCGATCAGGCGCACAGCGGTCGCATCACCTCGCTGAGCAAAGAGACCGAAGGCCGACCGCCATCATCACGCTCCAGCACATCATCATGGAGCGAAGAGCCAGCGTTGACGAACATGGACATCTCAACTGGACATATGGTGCTGGTGCGTAGAGCTGCCCGTCACTTCAAAGTCACGCCTATTTTTTACTCAAAACTTACTTTCCGCAGTCATATATGGAGGATCATCTGCGGAACAAGGGTCGACTGCAGCGTGAGTGGGAGGCGCTGTGCCGCTACGAGGCCGAACCTAGCGCCCGAGATGCCGCCTCTCAACCACAATGCGCTAACTTGAATCGACCCGGCGCTCCGCTGCCCTACGATCACTCGCGGGTGGTGCTCAATCATTTGGCCAATGCCGAGGGTCTGGACTATGTGAATGCCTCAACAATTGTGAGTACATCTAGCTCTAACTTTTGTAGACTTAAGTGTAGAGTAAACACAATCTGAATTCAATCTTAAACCTCCCATCAGACCGATCACGATCCTCGCGCACCCGCTTATGTGGCAGCCCAGGGACCGCTGCCCTCGACCTTGGCGCACTTTTGGCAAATGATTTGGGAGCAGGGCGCTGTTGTCATAGTTGCCCTCTGTCGCCTGCAGGAGAATGGAGAAGTGGCCTGTGCGCGCTACTGGCCGGAAGAAGGTGCAGAGGTTTATCACATCTATGAGGTAAGCTGCCTAGACTAGCCCCGACTCCGACAAACTAACTGAGCTCCGTTTGCTACAGGTTCACTTGGTTAGTGAGCACATTTGGTGTGATGATTACCTCGTACGTTCTTTCTACTTGAAAAATTTGCGCACTAGCGAAACACGCACTGTGACCCAGTTCCACTTCCTGTCCTGGCCGCAGATGGGCGTGCCGCCGCAAGCCAAGGCGCTGCTGGACTTTAGACGGTTAGTCCCGAAAGATCACATAATTTGTTCATTGATTCTCATTGGCTTTGCAGCAAGGTGAATAAGTCGTATCGTGGTCGCTCTTGCCCCATTGTGGTGCATGGCAGCGCTGGCGCCGGACGCACTGGCTCCTACATACTGTTGGATCTGGTGCTGGGACGCATGAACAAGGGCGCACGCGAGATAGACATTGCCGCCACATTGGAGCATCTGAGGGATCAGCGAGCTGGCGTGGTGGCCACGCGGCAACAGTTCGAATTTGTGCTGATGGCCGTGGCCGAGGAGGTGCATGCCATACTGAAGGCTCTGCCGGCGAATACGTCGGGCGAAAAACGTGAGCTGGACAAGGATAATGGCGCCACCAAGGAGCCGCTCAAGGAGGACAAGGCGCAGGAAGCAGCCGAAGAGGAGGCGCCCACCAGCAGCAAGGCAGCAGCAGTAGCAGCAGCAGCAGCAGCAGCAGCCAAGGACAAGGAGCAAGCCAAGGAGTCCACTCCCAAGGACGCCAAAACGTCCGTTGAGCAGAAGAAGAAATAGGCGCGCAGATAAAACAAAAAACAAACTAAAAAACAAAAATAACCAAAAATAATTTTAGTTTAAATGACGTTGTTGCAGCGTTTCGGGGGTCTAATTTAGTTGTTGTAGCTAGTATTAAAGTACACACGTTGTTTTATGCAATTTATTTTGAAAGGTCTAAGCACTTGGAAGGTTCGAAAAGGGCTAAACATGGTCGGCTAGAGTTGGATACGCATTAAATGTTCAGTTATTATTATATTGAAATATATATATATAAATATATATTTAAGCCTATGTTCAGCACAAATTGCACCACTTGAAAGAAAGTGAAAGAAAAACCAAATAATTTATAGCGTCTGCAATGCTGCCACAGAGCTTGCCCCAAGGCCAGCATGCTGCAACGGGTTCGCACACCAGCCCGTGTCATCCGTTGAGAGCGTCTCTGGCTGGGGTCAACTCAAGCTTGTGGTGCCATTGGGCGTGCCGCACATATATTTCTATCAAGTACATAAATATATACATATATAAAAATATGAGAAACATAATTTGAGTGTTATATATACAAGACAAATATTTATATATATATATATATATATATTTATGTATATATATATATATATATGTATATATATACATGTGTAGCTGTTAAGCATTTAAATTCAATTATGAATGCATTTTATCTATCGATGTTGGCATAAAACATCATAAAGCAAAACACGAATATGAATATCCTTTACTTTTTGTGTGAACATAAAACTCTAATCGATGTGCTTGAATTAATCAGCGGGAAAGATAAAAACAACAAACAACCAAGAAAACAATGAAACTAACCAAACGGTATACATATGCCAACAACAACAGCGACACGCGACACGCAACACACATACAACATACAACATACAACATACATATACAAGAGCAGACATATACAATTCTATATATATCAAAATATATATATTCCGCAAAAGGATGAATGCAAAATTTGTACCTAAACGAATGAAAAACACAAAAATTTCTATTTACAAAAACAAAAACAAAAACAAAAAATGCAGATTAAAAAGCTATTGATGTGTACGACAATTACTTATACAAGTTTATTATATATTGAAAAAGAAGTCTATATATATTACAAATACATGTATACAATATACATTATTCATATACAATATGGTGAGTGTCAATATTTATATATATATAACGACTAACTACTATATATGAGTGTCATTTTTCAGCAAACAAATATTTGAATATTGTTTTACCAAACCATATGTGTGCAAATTATAATCTATATATATGCATAATCTCTCTATTTGTTTAGTTGTTCATTAAACCAAAAATCCTAAAAGAATTTATTTCGAACCAAAAACCAAAAAAAAAAATACAAAAAATACCAAATCGGCACTTGGCTCAGCGAGTTCGTGTAGTTTGTGGCCAGCGCTTTAAACTCATGTATTTCTCATCTGATTTCGAGGCAGCTAAAAGCGCAGCTCGCAAACTGTTCGCACTCGCCGTTTCCCTATGTCGAAACAAACGTTTAGGAGGGTGTGTCACACACATATATTGAGAAGAAGATAGCGCAACATCTAGAAATCGAAGCTTTAACAAAACAAAATTGTTAATTTATGCTTTCGCCGGCATGCAATAGAACATGATAAGAATATACTAAATACACACACACAAATACAGAAACATAACATATACACTCACGCACATCACACAAAAATACTATAAAAACTAAATGAAATCCCCACTCAGGCATGACCCTTTGAATGTTTCAAATGGACAAATAGCTAAATGTTTAACAGGAACTTAACTAAGAACACATGGTTTAAGTGCGGTATCTGAAAAATACTGCACTACACGCTACACTAAACACAACAAAACAACGGAATCGCCACAATGATACAAAGGACTACAAATGATATCCACAATTGACTAAAGATAATACAAACTAGTTAAGTAAGTGCAAAATATTCCAAAACAAAAAAAAAAACGAAACAAAAAAATATATCAAATATACCAAAATACAAATAAAAATTCCTTTATGGAAAGCAGAACAGGAGCAGCTGAGTTGATTTAAGGCAGTGTCTAAAGATGTATGTATCTAAATGCAAATTGCTGCAAGTTAGCACAAAAATTACTGCAAAAAAATACCCATAAACAAAAGAAAAGTACTAAAATAATTAACAGTTTGCTGTAGCAGTTGGTGTTAAAAATAAAATAACAAAATACATGAGTTATTTGTAGTTTGAGCAAAAACGAAAAACTTTTTGAAAAAAACCAAATGTCAACTAAATAATGTTAAGAAAATATCAAAAACGAAAAAAATTTAACTAGACGCAATATTTGTTTGTTAGCATTTCCTTCGTTACAAAGACAAGATTCATTAAATACTTTTTAAAAAAAATACACACACACAACACAAAAGCATAAAAACAATATTACAATAACTGTGGCAGGCCCAACAACAACTTGGGGCTTGCAAAAATCTCTAATTAACGTGGTAGAAAGTATTAAAAAAATCAATTTAAAGTTTACAGTTTTAAAAACACTTAAAAACAAAATCAATTTAATATTTAGTAGTGAGTTTTTTCCATTAATTTAACAAAACGTTTTTTCAGTGTTAATTAAATACAAAATATTTCCAAATGTTCTTCGACAAACAAATTAAATAAGTGTACTAAAAACGAGAAGAAGAAGAAGATGCAAAACTCTAAATGTATTGTAGTAAAAAGCATATAAACTATATAAACGACAATTATTATTGATGTATATTCGACAAACAAAAATTATATTATTCAAAAACAAACAACCATGCGTAGCAAATTGAACGGAACTTACAAAAATAACACAACAAAATTATTTTATAATATAATAAAAATTAAAAATAAATATATATATCTATGTATTTATATATACATATATATATAATCAGCATATAATATACGATATGTATGTGTGCGTTATTCAGGCACGGAAGTTATTATTTCTTAAAACTATTTTCATTGATGGTGTAACATAGATATACAAAGAACTAAAAAGATTTATTCTAAAAATACTAAATTGACAAAGATTTCGACAATGCCTAGGCAAAGAAAAAACGGTACATTATGACCCCGGAGTCTTGCTCTAACAACAACTCCCGCTGGAGTTTAGAGAGTGAGAGCTCCACATAAATATATTATAGTATGATAAAAATACCAGCAATGCATGCATCAATTTCTTAGCTCGATTCTATCGAGAGCAATAAACGACAAATAGCTATTAAAGTACAGTTGGCACTATGGATAGAAAGGATACCCCGGACAGACATGGACAGCCTTAAATGACCGACGAACTGCATACAAAATGGTTTGAGTTCCTAGATAAACGCAAGCTGACTATTAAGACATCGACGTACCGACGGACATTCTTGACCGGCTGTAAATACGCACATCTTAGCAATGGACGCCCTGAAAAAATACTACAAATATTAAGAAAAAATACCGACCTCGACACGGACAGAACCTACCAGAGAGACTTACTAGGTTGGGCGACATCTTAAGGCTTTCGTCGTTTCGTTGCTCTCGATGGCATTGCGAGTTGTCAACTTGATGCAGCATTGTTTCTAGTTTAGTGTGAAATACATATGACGTTCAACATGATTTAAACAAAAATTTCTAAAAAACTTGTACTTAAAGAAAACTTATGTACTACAAATTTTCGGCTTATTTCGATTTGTTAATTGTTTCAGTTTCATAAAAAAAAAAATGAAAATATACAAATACAAATAAATACAAAAATAAAATATGAATATCCATAAAACATGCATATTTTTCGCACATTAAAAACTATGCGTGTTGTAATTAATGAAAACATATATATAATAATAATAATAATGAAAATCCAGAAAAATAAATATACACTAAATATATATATATGTGAAAAATATTGCTGTATATTTCAATTAAACAAATACAACTTAAGCGAAGTCAAATACCAAGCGCAGGCTTTCATACATTTTTGGAAAAGAAATGGAAAAATACAAATTATGAAATTATAATAAATAAGTTTGACAAATATCGATGTGTATAACATATATAAAAAATATATATATATCTGTTTAGCCACTTGGCGAAGTTTGTGTTAAAGAAACATTAAAAGAAAAATACATAAAAAATATTCACAAAAAAAAATTGTAAAACCAGCAGAAAAAAATTATGCTGGCTGAGGCCACTTAAAAATATATTGAAAAAAATACATAAACACAATTACACTAAAAAGGAACAAAATTACACACATTAACATAAACAGGCAACAACATGTTTATGGTCATACCTATTAAAGGTTTTTTGTGCAAGCATAATTAAGAGATCAATCTACATATATATATATATATATATGTAAAGTAATGTATTTAAATTGAATTCGCTATGCAATTTAAATATATATATACAACAAATTACAAATTATATATAAATGTATACTTCAATTATTTACGACAATTACATACATACATACAAAAAAAATATATATAAATGTTATTATTCAGCAAAAACAAAATGAAAAACAAATACTTTTGAATCGATCGATATATATACACATATATAATAATCTCCATCGGAGCAAACGAGAGATCATATATCTAAATGTAACGCGCCATTGTGTAATATGCGCTACATATACTAAATAAATAAATATATATATATATATATACATATATAATCAAATATATATATATATATACAACTGGATGTATAAATGTAAATCAAAATGAAAACAATACAGAACATTGATGAATAGCAGAGCAAGGAAACAAAGACAATTGATTATGATAACGATGTCATCAATTGTGTAGAACCGGTAATAATTACGATTATTATTATAATACAAACACACAATAATAAAGAAACCCTTAAAAAACAAACACAGATGTCAAAACCAAAAACCAAAGCAAAAAAAAACCAAAACAAAAACAATCCAAACAAAATCAGATCCCATATAAGAGAAAAGTTCACTCAAATCGATTATCAGTGTATTGCACTTAAATGTGAAACCGAATAGCTGCGAGCACAAACAAATATATTAGTAACACTGTCTAACAAGAGTAGGCGAAGTCCATTCAAATGGCCAAAGCTACCAAACGCTGTAAACACAACACCACTTAACTTTCCACAGTAAGGCGTGCATGGAATTGCCATTGCACCCATTGCTATATAGGTAATATCTCTCTACATAGTTTGTAATCTATCTCTGTTCAATCAACAGTTGCAGGATTCGAGAATCTCAATCAACATACACACACGCACACTTTACAACACTGGTTAAGGTAACTAACACTTTTTACTTGGTTCCCAAAAACATTCATTTCCTATGGTCGAAACTCTATGTGAATATCATTTTTTTCAGCTTCTCGTTTGATTCAATTTTTTTGGCAATTGGCGTTTACCAAATTCATCTGATATGGATTATTATTCAAAATTCTGATTCTAAAATTGGCTGAAATATATTTTGAATACGCAAAATTATTTTTATTAAATATATTTTCATATCTTATTCAAAATTCTGATCACAAAATTGAAAATGAAAATATTTTTTGAAAATGCAAGAATATTTTTATTAAGTCTATTTCAAAATCGTATATTTTATATATATTTTTTTATAAGGATCATTTCAATTGGCTTTAGAAAAATCTACCCAAATCCCAAAACTTTTCCAAATTATGTCCAAAAGACAAGTCTTTAACTAATTTCAAAATGATTTTCAAAAAAATTGGCTTTTGAAAATATATTATTTTCTTCCAAAACTCATTTCTTTACAACCCGAAAAATTGGCAATTTGGCGATTCATTTAGAATTTCTATATTTTAAACCAAGCTACACAAAACAGACAACTTGGCTAAGAAATAGACTAGTCAAATTGTGCGCATATCTCTAATCTTAAAGCAAATATGCATTTGCATTAAAAAGTAAATCAATTAAAGCTTCCAATGAAGAAACTAAGAAACTAAGTAAAACGCGCGGCAGCGCTTAGGCAGAGGCACTAAATTGTTTTTTTGTTGTTTTTTGTGAAACATTCGGCCAACTATATAAAATACACTTGAAGAAAAGCACGCGTACTGCATGTCTAAAGAACGTAACTTATAGCAAATATGATCAGCATACTACATGCTTGAAATATATATATATATATATAAATATATATATATATATATATATATATATATAGAACATCGAGTGGCTAAGACTACCGATCGTATACAGAATAAATATATAGTATTTAGGTGACAGCGCGATTCCAATTCAATTTCTCTTGAGAAATGCCGATCGAGCGCTATATATATTGAATATTGGGGGTGGGTTAAACCAGTAGGTTCCTCGCCTTAGAGTATTTTTTTTGGGATACTCTGCAAGGAGTCCCATCCTTAGCAAATGGAGCAAGTCCTAGCTACATACATAACCAAGAAAAGAAGTGTTTACACTGAAAGAAATATATATATATATTTAGCCAAACAACATTTAAAGCACATTCACTATGCAAAATATTCGTTAATCAATATATATATACAAATATTCACATATTTAATCCATTGGTGTAAAGCAAGCATTGAAAAATACAAAAAAAAATTAAAAAATTGAAAAAAAAAATGAAAATAAGAAAAACCCCTTTGAAAAAAGGACAAAAAAATTTGGCGACATTTTTTTATTTGCATAGATCGGACTATATATATGTTATTTGGATCAAAAGGCAAACCAAATTTCATTTCAAACATTTTTCGCAACTCTCATGATACGTGATAAAAGCAGTGCCAATGCAGTGAGAAAGGAAGCACACATACTTATCGCATACCTTCGAGCACTTATGCCCGACCTACACAATGTGTTTCATTATGCTGCACGCCACAGACACGCCCCTAAGTGTAGCACCCCTTGCCAAGCCAGCCCGCACACCCGCTCAAGCCCCTTCGCCCATTGCCCATTGCCTATTGCCGATTGCCCATTGCCACTTGCCACCCCTTTGCGCCGCTTCGCTTTGCAGAATTTCAGAACAAAGCAAATATACCGCGCCAAAAAAAAAAAATAAATATAAATAATAATGAACCTAGCCGAAAATCGGGTCATAGCCAATTTTATATGCTAGCAACTGCTGTGGTGGTTCAACCGCATCTGTGCTGCGCTGCCCTGCCCCCTGTGCATGTGCGTGTGTGTGCATGGGTGTGTGTATGTGTGAGTGTGTTTTTTCGAGTTTTCGATTTCATTTGGTATTTTGGCAAAATTTCAGCTTTCGTCTGTTTGCTGTTCGCCTGTTCCGTGTGTCGGAACATTTCTTTGAAATGCCGCAATGAAAGGCAAAAAGCCGCCGTGCAAACGCTTTGATGATTTTCCGCTTGCCGCCGCACCACCAACCACCACCAATTGCCAACAACCAACAGCCAACAAGAACAACAACAACAACAGGAACAACAACACCAAGCGACAGCCAGCGACAAGGAACGCTTTGATGACCGCGTTTTTCTCTTTGTCTCTCACTTTTGGCTCCCTCTAGCTCTTTCTCTTTCATTCTCTGCCTCTTCTTCTTTTTTGGCCTTTTGATGATGATGTTTGTTGCTGTTTGCGTTTGCATTTGCCATGCCCGGCATATCAATTTAGGGGAGTGGCATGCGTGACGCTTAACTGAACGAGATTATAGAGTCTTCTCACTCCCAATGCCCACAAGAGACCCCCGACCCACAGCCAGCCACAGAGTGCCACAGAGTGCTACAGAGTGCCACAGTTTGCGGCAAGTTCTTTGTTGTTTCCTACTGCAGCTGGACGTTCCCGCAACAGGAGCACGGGGAGCGGCAATAGCGACAGGAAGAGGAAGAGTAACAGGAGCAGCAGACATTCAGGCTCGACTCTACTCGCAACATTACCAACATCTTAAACAACAACAACAATTTTGCCCAGAGCACTCTTTTGATTGCGGTTTTGATTTACTTAGTCGGCTTTAGTGCTTAATTCATCAACGCCTTGCCTTGCAGATATAATACGTCTGATTGTAGAGTAAGCAGAGGGCATAGTAGGCAAGTCATCAACCTTAGCAGCTTTAAGCTGTGTGTCCAAAAGTTTTGTGGAGAATACTCAAAAAAATTTATAATAACATTCTTCAGTATAAAATCATAAACTTTTTATTATTTTCGTTCTCTAACTGAAGCTCT